TAATGACAAACAGTGCGCTGACACACCCTGCTATGGGCAAATCGCAGGGCAGGGCCTCTGTGAATTGGACTTTACACAAGATATAATGAGATAACCATTAATATTGAAAGGATTGCTGTCAGGGTGTGCAGGTGAGATATCATTTACAAGGTATAAGACACATGAAAGAACAGGAGGCTTGGGAACTGGCCATACATCCTTGGAAAAATCTATGTGTATACCTACCTGTCTCCTATGCAGCAAGTTCCTGACCAGAGGTGATGGGTCCAGAAACAGCTTTACCATAATGGACAGTTGGCACGATCCTATAGGTGGCAGAGGCAAAGAGAAGGCTTATCCCTAAAAAAGATATTGGGCAGACATTTTTGTACCATCATCAATAGAAATAGAGTCAGGGCTGTCCCTACACTATTCACTGCCTGAGGTGAGGGGATGCTGCCAGTGTATGGTCGTTCTGGGGGGGGGGCTGTGATGTCAGCGGCTCTGTCCGGCATCCCACTCAGCTTCTGGCAACCAGTGACGTCTGTAAGCTGGGCAGGAAGCTATAGAGAGAATCCCAGGTTGTTAAGAGCTTCCTTACAGGGTCCTATGGAGCCACCCTTGTGCGTGCTAGTAATCTGTGTGTGTCTCCACAAACACACAGGCACAGCCAGGCAAGACACTCCCCTGCTTCTCCTCTCCTCCCACTTCCCTTCGGCCATTTCCAAGCTAGTAGATCAGGGGTGGGCAAACTCTGGCTCTCCATCTGTTGTGGAACTACAAACCCCATGAGGCATTGCAAGATTCTCACAGCCACAGGCATGAGCCAAGAGACAGATGCATCATGGGATTTGTAGTTTCACCACAGCTGGAGGGCAGGAGTTTGCCCACCTCTGTAGTAGATGGACATCTGCTGGAGACTGCTCTGTCCCACTCCGTTGTGATCTTGCGCTAAACAGGAAGTACAGGGAAGCCGAGCTGAGAGAGGAAACAAGATGACTGTAAGTACTTGGGGGGAAAAAATGAAGGAAATACTTTGCTGGGCGATGTATATTTGTTTGAACCGGATTCATAAGTGAAAGAAAGTTTAAGAGTTTATTATTACTTTAAGAGAGTCCAAGAAATAAAACTGTTATTTGGCCCTAAAACCAGCAGACAAAAGAGCCTTTCTTCATCTAGGAAAATTCCAGAAGACACACAGATTTCCTGGACTGAACAACCAACCACACAACTGAGGAAAAACTGCCAACAAATACTAGAGGTCACAGAAGAGGGAGATTATCACAGTGAATTCTCTATTGACTGGACCTGAAGTTTCTTTGTATAAAACATGAGAAGTAGCCTTATGATAACCCAGAACTATAACATATGAGAAATACTAGGAAATGAAATATTCCCGGAGCAGAAAGAATACATGAGGCCACCTGGTAGGGCTCTGCTGACAGGTGGCAACCCATTGAATTGAACAAAGGATGTTAGTAGGTCATAGTTTCCTGGTATTAGGGACAGATGGTGGGAGAATAGCACACACCTGATGATTTCACTAGGGAAAGATGTTCTCTCTTCCTTACATTGACCCCAATAGTGTTTAACAAAAGGAAGTCCACCGTGTTGATGTCACAATAGTATATAAAGATACTCCTATAGCTCCAACTGCTGCGGCCAGTTCTTTTCCAAAGTCACATCGTTAGTTACATGGACATCACTGTGTAGTCATGGTGAGTCAAGTGATCTGAAATGTCCAATTTCTGGTGACATTATCTACACACAAAGACAAGAGAAAATTCCAAGCAACTCCCTCCATGATAAGGTGATTAAATAGCCCAAGTCAAGGGACAAATACAATAACATTTCCAAGGGAAACGGGAATACTAAAAGTCCTATCTGGGAGGTTGGGGAATGGGAAGGCCACAAGTTTCCTCTGGGAGGTCAAGGAACAGGAAGACTATATGATCCATCTGGGAAGTTGGGGAATGGGAAGACTACATGTTCCATCTGGGAAGTTTAGAAATGGGAAGACTACATGTTCCATCTGGGAAGTTTAGAAATGGGAAGACTACATGTTCCATCTGGGAAGTTGAGGAATGGGAAGACTACATGTTCCATCTGGGAAGTTGAGGAATGGGAAGACTACATGTTCCATCTGGGAAGTTGAGGAATGGGAAGACTACATGTTCCATCTGGGAAGTTGTGGAATGGGAAGACTACATGTTCCATCTGGGAAGTTGACATTTAAATTTTTTACATTTTAAATTGGGGTGACCCATATTTTCATACTTTTGAAAGGTGCCATGACTGAAAAAACGATGTATGGAATACATGTTCCCTCTAGGAAGTTAAGGAATGGGAAGACTAAAAGTTTCATCTGGGAAGTTGGGGGATGGGAAGACTACATGTTCCATCTGGGAAGTTTAGAAATGGTAAGACTACATGTTCCATCTGGGAAGTTGAGGAATGGGAAGACTTGTTGAGGAATGGGAAGACTACATGTTCTATCTGGGAAGTTGAGGAATGGGAAGACTACATGTTCCATCTGGGAAGTTTAGAAATGGAATGACAATAAATTCCATCTGGTAAATTGGGGAATGGGAGGAATACAAGTTCTATCTGGAAAGTCTGTCCACCATGTCAGATGGACTCACAGATTGTGGTGGCACAAGTGAGGTGATGTCACCACACTTGTATTCAATGTTTACTTTTATCCAGCTCCATAACAGAAGGGCCATACCTCTGTACAGACCTGGGGCCGGGGGTAAACAGTTCAGGAGCCTGCGCATTACACCCACGACACACTGATCACAGTTGTAATGCTCTGCAGGCTTTATTGTGAAAATGTAGGTGTGTTTATTCAATTTTTGCAAAAGGTGGAGCATGCCTTTAAGATGTTTTGGTTAAGTTAAAATACAGATCAATGAATAGTTTAAAATAGTATTTGGTTTATTGAACATTGAAATGTAGTAAAGATGGTAAATGGTGATATATGGGCAATGCACATCTGTTTTCAGTGGTGTTTAAGGCTCCCCCTTCACCGTGTGCATAAAGCCATGGAGGTGCCCCCATCCAGTAAATGGGTCCATGATGCCCCATATTCATACTCTTCTCAACTTCTAGGTTGGCGCTGACCAGTCCACCTGGAAGACCAATTCTGTAGTCCTGCTTTAAAAACCCTCCAGGGGTGTGGGGAGTAATGACTGGAAATTGGATGTGGAATTTTCAACGGTCTCTTCACAGACATCCCAACTCTCCCGGACGCTCTGGGAGTCTCCTGCTGTTAGATAGCGGCTCCCGGCCGCCCTGGAGAGAAACATTTTCTCCCGGAAAGGTTTACTTTGCTCGATCTAGCAGAGTAAACCTCGATCTAGCAGAGTAAACCTTTCCCTGCTCTGATTTTTTTCTGACATCGGGGGGCCGCCGTCAGTCAGAAAAAAAAAAGAACCAGCATAGGAATGAATAGCTAGATTGCTATTGGCTAGGGATGCCTGCCTTCAAAGTGTATCAAAAACCATTAAACAATTTTTTTGGGTGGGGATATCGTGTTGAACCTGCCAGGTTTGTAGGGTTGTCGGTGTCCTACCTGGATAGACTCGCCTTCTCTATTTGTCCTGGTGACCGTTGTCACTGCAAAAGGAAGTGAGGAAAAATTGAACATTTTAAATTGGTATATAGGGAGGAAATCGTCCAGTGGGGACACTTGTTGCAGTGACAACGTTCTGTGAAGCAGATCCAGGATTGCTCCTCACTTCCCGTTGTGCCTGCCGGAAAGGAAGTGAAGGGAAATCCCCACAATAGGAAATAGCAAAAACAAGCTGACAGGGGTTTCATGTGTTTTCCCCTATGGGTTTGTCCCCCCGTAAAAAAGGTGGAGTTTACCCTCTCCATGCTCTAATGCTGTCCCTCACTTCTGTCTTAGTCCTACACTGGAGGTCCTCTTCAGGACACTTTGTTACTCTGTCCATTTCCTGTGAGCCCAGCCTGTGGCTTATACGCCTCCTAGGGCAGAGGTGGGCAAAATCTGGCTCTCCAGTTGTTATGGAACTACAAATCCCATTAGGCATTGCAAAATTCTCACAGCACACAGGCATGACTCCCAAAGACCAATGCATGATGGGACTTGTAGTTTCACTACAGATGGAGGGCTGAGGTTTGCCCACCCCTGCCCTAGGGGGAGTGTCATCACTCAGGCTGGGAGCACAGTACTCCAGAACTGAGTGGCTCTTGCATGTTCTTGTTAGGGAGATTCACCCTCTCTATTGGCCCTGGCAACTGTCATCACTAAAAGAAAATGACACATTTTGGTTGTCACCAGGACAGGAATAGATGAGAAATCTTCCAATGGGGACACTTGTTGTGAAGACCCTTCTAACCACCATGGAATATCAATTCTTCTTGTGGCGATCAAACCGGAAGTGAGAAGAAATCTCCCCAGTGGGACACAGGAGGCAATAAAATGCTTGCAGGGGTTACTACCCTCCCTTACTCTATACAAAACTAGAAAAAAGTTTTGCCTTCAGTTCTAGTTTAAATGGAAATCAGAAAGGTTTCATAGGTGCAGCTCAGTCAGGCTCTAAATCTGTGCAGCGGAACATTGTCTGATGGCGATTTATCAAAACTGGAGCAGACAGAATCTAGAGTAGTTGCCCATGGCAACCAATCAGCTTCTTTCGTTTTCAAAGCTTAACACTTAACTGAACAAACTGACGATAGAAGCTGATTGGTTACCCTGGGTAACGGCTCCAGATTCTGTCTGCTCCAGTTTTGATAAGTTCCCCCCCCCCCCTTTTATTTTATTTACATTTTAGATTAGAGGAAGAAAAACTATATTATAATATCTCAGAGAAGGGAGGACCTATGTGCGGCTCCGTAGTCACGTGGTGATGTGACGTCACCGTCCAGCTGGATCACATGACTGTTACATGGCTTCTACCGAGCTTTACTTCCTGTTTATGGAAGGGTCCCGCCTTCTTTAGAAGCCTATTGGTCCGTGGGAAATTCAGGCTCTCTGATTGGCTTAAGGGGTTGAGCAGCGAGTCAGAGCGCTCATGCTGTGTCACCTGGATAACTTCCTGGAGAATCTCGTACTGTGTCCCCTGTGAGGAGCTGGGGGTTAGGTAATGACTGTTTTTCTGGAATAGTCTGATCCTTATTGAGCTGGCACAGACTTCCTGCAGAGGTACAATTGTGTTCCTTCTCCAATCTCCATGACACTGATCATGCCATGCTGGGTGTGATTGTATGGACTCTGATAATTGGGCAGTGTGTGGCCCTGCTATGCTTTGAGGGTGAAATAATCAGAATCCGGAGCAGTTGCCCATGGCAACCAATCAGCTTCTCTCTTTCATTTTCACAGCTTATCTAAACAAACTGAAGAGAGAAGCTGATTGGTTGGTTTGGGCAACTGCTCCGGATTCTGTTATGGGGCGGGGGAAGCAATCGATGGACTACAAGTGCCGAGATGTCGCAGCACTCGCACTCCATTGGGATCTACGACACCCTCTGCTGCGGAGACTGATGGGCCTTGTAGTTTTTCCATTCTCAGATGATTTGAATGGGTCTGTGAATGAATGACATGGCTGTGTGGGCGGAGCCGAGCACAGACACAGCAAACTCAGGGGAAGGGCCCTGTGATTCAGGTAAGGGAGGAACAGTTTGGGGAGTGTGTGTATGTCAGATCCTACACATGGCATCACAGGCAATTTTTATTAACCCTTGCAGTGAGGCTACACCAACAGAGCCGGCTTGTTCTTACACCGGTCCTTCCACCCTGTCTCCTCCTACGCAGCAGTCTAAGGATCCTTGTGTCATCATGTTTTATACTCTGTGTGTAGATGCGACGATGCCAAGCAACATTCCAATGCTGAAGCATAGGAGGAGATAGGCTGGAGGGAGCGCTGTGACAGCCGGCCAGCTCCAAGGGTCAGGCGTGTGTAACTTTTTTTTATTCTTGTAGCTAGACAAAAATGAGTACTTAACCCTTGCAGTGCGGGGGTTGGCGGTAGCCCCACTGCAAGGGTTAATACAACAGATTTCTGGAGTTCTTCTTTAAAGGTGATTCACTCTTTGTATTTGTCCTGGTGACGGAAAGTGAGGGGAAATGCAACTTTATAGAGTTGTCCCCAGAACAAGAGTTAAGGGGAATTCTTCCAATGGGGACACCTAAGAGGGGAATTCAGCTCACTTTGGGAGATTTCCTTTAACTTCCTGTTGGCTCTCTGGTAAGGGATGCACCGATGCCCTACCAGAGGCCCTACACAAAGGCCTTCAAGGAACCTAGGGATGCACCCGATACCAATACTAGTACCGGTGCTGATACTGAGTATTTGAGCGAGTACTCGACCCAAATGCTCTGACACCGGCGCTTCCAGTCAGAGGGAGGTTTCCCGACTGGCAATACCGCGGGGGAACATGGAGCCGGCTTCCCAGCCAATCAGGAAGTCAGGTGGGGGGTAATGACTTGCCCGGCTGCCAGCATGGAGCCGGCCACACAGCATGGCGCTGGCTTCCCGGCCAATCGGGAAGCTGGGCGGTGAGTCATTACCCTCCAGCTGGCTTCCTGATTGGCTGGGAAGCCGGCTCCATGCTAGTACTGGTATCGGTACTCAATATTGGCGAGTACCGAAATTTATATATCAGTACTCGTTACCGAAAAACCGGTGAATCCCTAGTCTCTGGGACAGGAAGTGAGGCGAAATCTCCCACATTGTACACAGGCAGCAAGAAATAAGCGGTCAGGGGTTTTAGCGCTAAATTAATTTGAACAGAAGTCGGGTATTTGTGGTTCACTTGTCGTAGGCTCTTCCGACAAAGCTGGTTTCCTGTCAATGACCAGAGCAAGCAGGAAACCAGTGAATGTCAGGGTTCCTTATCTCTACAGTCCAGGCCAGTGATTGAACGTCGGCCAGCCAGGTAATTAGCATATTCAAAAAGAGAGGACAACAGTGGCAGCTGACATATTTCACCCCTTTGGACAGGTTTCCTTTGGTCATAGAATAAAAGGCGGCCATCTTTGACAAGGCAGACCTCCATCAGATCCTCAGGGGTGTGTGTGCGTGTGTTACATTTATGTTTGAGAAGTCACCTCTTTTGGTTTGTTTATTTGCAGGTTTGACCTTATTCTCTATGGCGTCATACTTTGATGAGCATAACTGTGAGCCCACAGTGGCGGAGGAGCAATATCGACAGAATGCCTTGTTAGAGCTGGCCAGGTGAGTGACCTCCTCCATACACATATTAGGGATGCACCGATACTAGTATCGGTATTGGGTGCCGATACCGAGTATATGGCTGAGTACTCGTACTTTCCCAAATGCTCCGATGCCTAGCCCGGTACTTCCTGTATCAGGAGGTCGGACAGCGCATCATTACACGCTGCCCGGCTTTCTAAATGGCTGGGAAGCCGGCTCCCTTGTCACTTGTAAGGTAGCTGGCCAATCAGGAAACCGGGCGCTGTGTAATGACGCGGCGCCCAGCTTTCTGATTGGCTGGGAAGCCTGCTACATGCTTCCTCGTCACCTCATGTTGAGGGAGCATGGAGCCGGCTTCCCGGCCAATCAGGAAGCCGGGCGCCGCGTCATTACACGACGCCGGCATCCTGATCTGATTGGCCAGAAAGCCGGCTCCATGCTTACTCGTAGTGACGAGAAGCATGGGGATGGCTTCCCTGCTAAACAGGAAGCCAGGTGGCGAGTCATTACACGCAACAAAATGGGACTTTTGTTTGGGGCTTTAAGGCCGTCATCAGTGTATGGAATCCATGACTTCTATGGGGAAGGGTTTGGGACTCAACAAGACAACCATACAGGTTATGGTGAGAGGGGACTAAAGCAATCAAAATGCACCCTGACTGAATGTAGCGCAGTGTGTAGCATAGTAAAGCCTTCTTAGAAGAAAAATAATTCACATCTCGTTCCATCACGTATCCCCCCAAAAAAGAGGCTTATTCCTTATTTTAGGACAGTGGGCGGAGCCTTGCATATCATTACTTTATGCTCCATCACCCAGATGCTCATCCAGAATCCGGGGGGAGTATGGAGCATATAAAGCTTAATATTAGAGAGCCATTTAATCCAAACTGCACACAACTACTTCAGTCTTCTTGGCCATCATCAGTGCAGTGTATGGAAACCGTAGCTTCTATGGAGTAGAGCTTGGGAGCCGATGGGGCAGTATAACCATACAGGTTAGAAGGGACTGAAGCGGAAGATTGAACACTAACCTTTCCTGGTGCCTATACATGGCAGCATACATCTGGTTCAATGCAATAAGAATGCTGTCATGTAGGCACCAGGAAAACGGACAATTGAATACTTACCTTTCCCTATTTTTTCTCTTCTGGTGCCCATACTGTACATGGCAGCATACGTATTGCATTCAGCCACAGGTGGGCACCAGAAAAGCAGGGGTAGGCAAATTCCGGCCCTCCAGCCATGGTAAAACTACAAATACCATCATGCATCTGCCTCTGGGAGTGATGCCTGTGTGTCAGAGTCTTGCAAAGCCTCATGGGATTTGTAGTTGCACCACAGCTGGAGGGCTGGAATTTTCCTACCCCTGCACTAAAGGAATCAAAAGGCCTCCCAACTGGATCAGTACCTAGCACAGTGAAGCCTTCTTAGAACAGAGGGTATCCACATGTCTCGTTCCATCACATGTCCAAAAAATAAGAGGCTTATTCCTCATTTCACAACAGTGGGCGGAGCCATGCAAATTATCTGTTTTTTGCTTAAAGGAGAACTATGGGGTTAGAGCTTTTCCCCATAGTTCTCCTAAGGGTAACGGGAGGACACAAACTAGCGTCCTCCCGTCACCCTAAGCTCAGTATACCGCGAGCTACTGCTCGCGGTATACTGAGACGCCGCAGCTGAAACGCATCCCGACAATTATGTCTGGATCCGCCCAGCTGCGTGAGTGACAGCTGGCTCTGCCTATCTAGAGGCCCATAGTTCTCTTGTGATCATTTCATTGATTAGGCAGCTCCTTGGCCTGTCAGTAGCAGATTTATGAGGATGAATTTGGCCAGGAAGCCAGCATAGCTGTGACTCCGGCTCACCGTCTTTATAAATGAAGTCTCACGTCACACATGATACCGTTGAACTCTGATAGTAATAAACATTGTGTTTCCCCCTTTTCTAGGACAGTAAGCATTTCTCATGTAATCTCCGGGCTTTTCCTATTTCCTGTACGTTTACCAGCAGCTTCCTCTCTCCTAACCTCTAGTTATAAATCTTACAGCCGCCCGGCATTCAGCCGCATTGTTCAGATGCTGTGCGGTTTGAGGCGTTTCCTTTCCCTGCACAGTTTGGAAATCAGGGGACTTATAATTATACTCGGTTTTGTATTTATATCATTGAAGTCCCTCTGGGAGAATCGTGCCTCACTTATGAGTAGAAATGTCAGTGTTGCCTTTTGCTCTCGTCTATCCGGTACTTTTGTTAGGAATGTGTTTTCCAGCTTCCTTGAACCTTGGCATTTAGATAGTTGCGGCTTTCTTCCCATGGGATAAGCGTTGGCTTTACATGGCTGGAGTCACACAGAATGTAGCACTTTAGAGCCAAACACAAGACAGCTAATTAAAGATTGCCATTGAAAGCCCGGTTGTACTTCTACTTTAAAGGGTAAGTCCACTTTCTCACAAAATAACAAACACACCGACATCACCCCACCACACGTACATGTTTGGGGGCCCTGCCAGCCGCTGTAGTAGGGTTGCCACCTGTCCCGGATTCACTTGGACAATCCGGGTTTTGAATCCTCTATGTGCTGTGTCTCTGCCTCAGCTGGCCTGAAACCCGGAAACAGCACATACAGGACTCAAAACCCAGACTGTCCAAGTGAATCCGGGACAGGTGGCAACCCTACGCTGTAGGGGTCTGTACACCGGGCATCCCACCCCCGTGGTACGGAATGCTCATAATGCTTGCAAATGGCAAGCACTCTTTAGCTTGGTCACATGGCCATGCTGGCCAATGAGAAGCGCTTATTATGTGACCTGTCCATAGGTCTTGTAGCACTCTTTACCGGAAATCCCAAAGTGTTGCTGGGTGCTAGAAATGACCGCGGATGGCGCCGCACACAACCTTGAATAAAGATGTCATCCGCACACCAGCTTGACAGAATCTAAGTCAGTGCAAATCCATTTATTGATAGATGTCACTCAGAATATCAAGCGCTTTCGGGGCCGCACAGGGTCCCCTTCATCAGGATCAGAGTAGACAAG